TGCTAGTTGTTCTCAGCATCCATATCCATAATATGTGCTGCCAGGCAATCTCACACAAGGGCCACCCAACCAGCTTTTCCTAGTGGATATGTTCTTGGTCCCTGTGCTGCTCCCCAGCCATGCCTCTGTCTGACCACTGCTCATCGTGCTTTGTCAGCCCATGACTTGCTGAAAACCTCTCCGCAGGTCTCACAGATGTTGTGCAGCATGCAAGCTGCCACTATGAAGGCCATGATATTATCTGGCTCCAGCTCAAGCTGGCAGTTAAGCACCCTACATCATGCTTTCAGTTGGCCAAAGACACATTCAGCAGCCATCCTCCATCTGCTCAGATGCAAGTTGAAAACCAGTTCCTGCCGGTCCGTATCATTCCCTTCATAAGGCTTCATGAGCCAGGGCTTTAGGGGGTAAGCAGCATCTGCTATTATAAGCAGGAATCACAACACCATGGATCACTGTCTTGGGGACTCCAGGTGCATAGTGTCCTTTCTCCACGAGGCCAGGCAGCAGAGAGTTTCTGAACACACATGCATCACACGCGCTGTCGGCCCACCCGGTAAAAATGTTCATGAACCAGCCCCAGTGGTGCAACATGGAGACAAATCCTTTCCTTTTGTGAAAGACCTTCCTCTCCCCAAAGGGAACTGCACTGGGATGTGAGTGCTGTCTAAAGCCCCTACACAATGAGGGAACCCCATGACATTGAAGCCATCTATGACTCCCTGAGGCAAATACAGTGGAGTCGCATCTTATGCAGGGGTTAGGTTCTAAAGTCAGCTCATAAGGCAAAAATCGCATATAGTCCAAATTTATGGAGAGCGAATAGTAGACGAAGTGGTTGGCTCTGGTTCAGCTCAAGAAGCTGATTGCTTAGGCTCATCTGCTGCTGGTTGTTTTTTCTTGAAAAACACGGTGATTGGCAACTGTTGCTATTGTCTCTTGAGCTGCTCAAGCATTTCTTGGTATGGTCTCAAATCGCCCATAATCCTACATGTGATTTTGAGGCTTCGTTCCATAGAGGGATCATATTCAGAAATCAAATCATTCAAGTGTTTTGCTGCTTGGAACACTTCAGCAAATGTATGAAGATTCCAACTTGCTGGCTCTTCCTGTTTGTCATCACCATCTTCGTCTTCTGTAGATGATTTTATCAGTTCCTCTAACTCTTCATTAGTCAATGTTTCTCTATGGCCCTCAATTAATTCTTCAATTTCTTCCTTGAGGATGTTGACAAAGCCATCACCACCCACTTGCCTGGCCACCTGAACAATGTGTTTCACTTCTTGGTCAATGGTCGGGAAACCCTTAAAATCATTCACACATTCTTTCCATAGGTTTCACCAACATGCATTGACTGTTTCAGGCTTGATTGCATCCATTGCTTGTTTAATATAAGTGATGCAATCGGCAATGTCGAAGGACTTCCAACACTCCATCACATTAAGATTGGGATCAGCATCCATAGCGCTATGTATCCATGAGAACGTAAGCCTTGTGTACGTGGCCTTGAAACAGCGAATCATGCCTTGGTTGAGAGGTTGGAGGATGGAGGTGGTACTGGGGGGGAGAAAGATGACTTCAATGTCATTATGTGCAAACTGGAGTGCCTCAGGGTGGCCAGGAGCATATTCTATGACCAGCAACACTTTAAAGTCAAGTCCTTTCTCTTCAAGGTGCCACTTGACCTCCGGAATGAAACACTTGTGGAACCAATCCAGAAATAATGCTGCTGTCACCCAAGCCTTTTTATTTGATTGCCAGAACACAGGCAGGAGATTTTTGTTCTTGCCTTCTATGGCACAGGGATTTGCAGCCCTGTAGAGCAAGCCCAGCTTTATTAAATGCCCAGCTGCATTGTCACAAAAAAACAGTCACACGGTCTTTAGCTGCTTTGAAGCCAGGGGTTTGTCTTTCTGATTTCAAAATGTAAGTGCGATTGGGCATTTTTTTTCCAGAAGAGCCCAGTCTTGTCAGCATTAAAAACTTGTTCCGGAAGATAGCCCTTTTCTTCTATGATTTTCTTTAATTGTTCAGGGTAGGCTTTTGCTGCCTCTTCATCGGCAGATGCAACTTCACCAGTAGTCTGCACGTTTTTGAGGTTGAAACAGTTCCTAAAACTGTTAAGCCAACCTTGACTGGCTTTGAATTCCTTCTCATCAGAAAGCTGTCCCTCTTTGGCCGGAGGTTTGAACAGCGCATAGAGGCTAAGAGCCTTTTCTCACAACATGTTGCCATCAATAGGCACACGTTTATGGTTCATGTCTTCCAGCCATAAGTTTAATGCCTTTTCAGTCTTCACTAAAGTCTTATCACGCACTTGGCTCATCACCTTAGCAGTTATTGGAGCACTTGATGCCACGGCTTGACGAATTTCTCTCTCTCGAATCCTGATGGCACGGATGCTAGATTAATTGTGGCCATATGTACGGACCACGTTGGAGACCGACATGCCATCTCTCAATAAGTCTAACACAGTCAGTTTTTCCTCCAGCGTTGGAACAGATCGCTGTTTCTTTGGTTGAGCACCAGATGAAGTAGTTAGCTTGCATTTAGGGGCCATGTTGTATGAAAAATACATATCTTTAAACACTAGAATCACACTCAGCATGGTGAGATGCTCACACTATGAGAGGCATGCGGGAACTGAGACCAACTGAGGGAACAGCAGATTCACGTTTCCCATCTCACGTTCACTCGGGGCATGCGCTTATTGAGTGGAACAGCAGCGGGTGGAATTGCCCACACTGTTTAATTTGTTTTTCTCTTTTTTTTTTTTGCTGAGCACAAATAGTTTAATGCGCATAAGTTAAATTGGTGTATGATGCGACTCCACTGTAAAGTTGTTTGCCATGACATCCTGCAGTAGCTGGCATACATCGCAAGTCACCAGCCCAGCCATGTAGGGAGCCACGCTGAACTGGTTCATGAAGTAGCAGAGGCTGAATGGGGTGCCTAGTTTCATGATGGCCATGACCACCCTCTTGTCCAGCAGGATGGCCCAACACATGCCTTGCAATTTGTGGCCCCCAGCATTGAGATGATATAATAAAATGTCTCCCTGGACATTCAGAACATCTCCAGCCGTTGCTGATCATTCCAGGTGGTCAGCGCAATTCTCTCCCACCAGTCCAAGCTGCTCTCATGGGCCCAAACCATGCAGTTCCTGCTCCTGAGATTTATCCACAGAGCCAGTCAGCTTCTATTTCTTCGCATGCCTCTCGGTTGTCCCACTGCACCGCATATCTACACCCCCTTTTTTGCGAGGCGCCTATCTGTGCAGGTGTCTCATCACAAGCTTTGAGCAACACTATCGATACATACAGTGCTATCATTATCTGCACCTGCATGTCTTGTATTAATTTCAAGGCCAGCAGTAGGGTAATCACGCACAAGTTTGGTGGGACATTTATGATATTACCTATATATCACCCAGGATGCTGCATATCTTGGGGGCAGGTCTTGCATGCAGCATCCACCTCCACTATTCATTGTTTCTGGAGTGGCAATGTCAATTATAAGAAATAGGAAGGTTACCTCTGAAATATTAAAGTGTTAAGAAGAGGTGCCACACTCCAAACACAGTTGCAAACTTACCATTCTGGTGATGCTGCTGTGCTCTGCAGCTTGGAACTCCATGGTGGGCGCAGCGGGTGAGGGGCATGGTGGGGAGCACATACAGGACCGGTGGTGGTGGTACAGGCACAACCACTAGCAGAGGGTAGTAAACAACAGTAAGTGGCAATATGAGTTGCTTCTCCATTTCTTTCTTTCTGCATTAAGTATTCTATATTCTTTATGTATTAAGTGCTAGGGTAACTAATAGAGATGCCTCCTGTACTGTGCCCTGGTTGGCTGCAGTCAGCTGTGGGAGCAGGGGGAGGGAGGGAGGGAGGGATGAGCAGGAGCCCCCAAAAAATAAAAATAAAAATTACAGCAGCAAGTAACAGTTGAACCTACTGGCCAAAGGCCTGAACTACAGAAATAGTGCAGCGCCACCTGGTGGCAAAATAAAGTAATTACAAGTCTTTGAGTCATTTGGTGTTTACATGCTACAAATCCATAGATACAACTATGTAATTGGTGGCGACGCAAACTAAACTGTGTCCAAGCAGTTTTACTTTAACACACCGAAAAGACTTTTAAACCGGCGGGAAATCCCACTTGTGCAAACAGAAACACAGTTGCAGCACTGTAAATGGCAAATCTCATGATGTGTACAAAGGTCCCCACAAAGCAAGTATGAAACTTCAGCTAATATTGATCATGCATATTGTGATCCATACTTGAAATGTGCCATACCAGTCTAAACTGCTGTTAATGAATCAAGTCTGTTCATCTAATTTTATATAACAGAGTGGGATAGCTGCATACTGCAACCTTGCTCTGTTTAATCATTGGATGTTCCTGTACTGTAATATAGGACTTAGTTTGGAGAGATAATTACCACTCTTCCAGGAGCTGCAGTTAGTTGTTGCCAAATTGGATCAAATTTTGGTAAAAGGCTTGTTACATTTCAGCCTTGATAGTCAGGGCATGACTCATTTACACCCCTCTAATCTGCCTTTATGCTAGTGTAAAGAAAGAGTAGATACATAATATGTAGCCCTACACTGGTACAATTTACTAGAATCCAATGCAGTTACCCTGGGGGAGGGAGAGGGATCAGTAGTACAACTTATGTCTGCTTTTATCCTAGGGTAGCAGTTGGCTTAATACAATAGGCTATTAAAGGCTCCATCACTATCTAGTGGCAAGGTCCTATGAGATTGCCTATTGCAACAGCTAGTCAGGATGAGGTAGTCTGTGTTCAGAACTGGCATGAATTACACCACTGTTAATGTGTCCCAGTCCTAAGAACTGACCATTCTGTTGGATAGTATGACCTGAAATTCTGGCCCCCTTTGAAGTCAATAGCAAAACTCCCATTGACTTCAGTGGGTCAACTTCCTCCCCCACCAATTTGTGATTATCATTATATTTTCTTTACTTGTTCTTTTCAGTGGTTTCATCAAAAGCATCAGATGATTCCACTTTCAAGAGAAACCATGACACCTGGAAATTTTTTGAAGGTAAAAAGGCTCTGAATGTTACTGCTTATTTGCATGTAGTTTCTCATTAACAGGGATCCGGGTTTTCCATTTCCCACAGAAAAATGCAGAAAAATGTGAATGTTCCCTTTTAAAGAAGAAAAACATGTTTTTTTCCCTTTGAAGGGAGAAACCGTTGGTTTCCCCTTGCAAGCTGGCAGTGTTCCACATGCATGTGCACACATATGTGACTGTCAATACAGCCAGACAGGGTGGTGGCAGCAGCCCCAGCAGCTGGATACTGGTGGTAAGTCTATGGCAGGGGTTTTCAGCCTTTTTTAACTAGTGTACCTATTCTGGTGGTGGCGGCCAGCTGGCCATGGGGGACAGGGGAGGTGGTGCTTACATGCGGTGGCCAGCTGGGGAGGGAGTGGCTCTCACACGATGGCCACCACCCACCACCCTGCAGTGCTGCTGCCATGCCCCACTGTTCCACAGCTGGTCAAACATGTGGCTCCATGGGCTGCTGATGGGCCTCACACCCGGTCAATCATGCACCACCTGTCAGCAGTCCGCAGAACCATATGTGCGACCAGCCATGGAAAACCAGGGCGGGATGTGTGGCAGTGGGCAGCAGTGCAGAGTAGTTGGTGGCAGAGGCCGCATCCAAGGCTCCAAATCCAATCATCTCCAAATCCAAATCATGATTCAAAGCTTTGCACAGTCCTAATGGCCAGGCCACCTGGTACAGTGCAGGAGCCGCAGCCCAGAGCGGGGCAGTACCATAGGTTGTGCCCTCCTCCTCCCTTCAGTTAGCACCTGGGCCAAACTTGTCCTGCTGCCCTCATGAGGCAGAGCTTCTGCAGCTGCCGCCACCACCAGCTGCTGCTGAGCAGGCAGGGGACACCTCACCTTGGCAGCCATGGGGGTGCGACTGGCACGGGGTTTCCAGAAGCAGTGACACTGAGCTTTCCTGTTATGCTCCACCCTCCTGCACCAGGTCCTGCTGACTGGGCCATGGATGCAGCTCCTGCCTGGTGCCCATCTGGCCAGGCTGCATATGCCCCCTATCCCCTTTGACACATTACCAATGGTGTTGCCTATGCCAACACAGCCCCTGCCCCACACACTGGGGAGCTGGGGCCTGGAGGTGGGGGGGCAGCTGGGGACCCCTTCTGGCAGGGCTGGAGGTGGGTAGAGGGCTGTGGGTCGGGAGTGAGGGGCAGCAGCAGAGCTGGGGGAGGTGCTGAGGGCTGTAGGTCAGGAGTTAGGGCAGTGGTGGGGACAGGAGGCTCCATGCTGAGAGTGAGGAGCACCAGAAGGGGTACGGGGCAGGGGGCTGTAGGTCATGAGTGAGGGGCACCAGCAGGGCCAGGGGTCAGCAGGTTGGGAGTGAGGGGCACCAGTGGGGACAGGGGGTTGTGGGTTGGGAGTGAAAGGTACTGGCAGGGCCAGGGGGCTGCAGGTCAGGAGTGAGGGGCACCAGCATGGGTGGGGGAGTGGACGGGGGACTGTGGGTCAGGAATAAGGAGCAGTGGCAGGGCTGTGAGGGGCTGTGGCGGGCTGTGGCTTGGGTAGGGGTGGGCCACCAGCATATCAGGGTTGCTCAGTGCCACAAAGCAGATGCAGGGGTCAACCACAGACACACCTGCATCCTGGTGAGTGAAGGGGTCATGAGGAGCTCTGATTTGCCATGATAAAAAAACCCCAAATCAAATGCTGAAATATATTGGTATTTAAAATTGTTTTTATTACAATGATTGAGGCACTGGTAGATTTCTACATTGCTTTAAAATTGTAAATATATCAATAAAACACATGCTTGATGGCTTCTCGGACATGTTCTAATTAGAACATGTTGGAGCAGATTCGATTAATTGATTAGTTGAGTCTGCTGGAGCATTCTAATCAGCATGCTCCAGCAGCCTTGGCATCATGTATATTCAGTAGAGGTGTACTGATATATTAGTCCATATTGGATCAGCACTGATAAAAGGAAAATTGACAATAATGTCACTGATAAACGCCACACTGCACTTGCAGCATGCACAGAGCCAGGAATGTAGCCCAGCAGCTTGGAAAGCAGCATTCAGCCATTAAGTCTGTGGGAGGGAAGGGGCATGGGGGGATGCAAATCAAGGCTCCCATGGTGAGGGAGGGAATGGGGCTGGGCAGGCACTGCCCAGCCAGGGTGGTATGGAAGACAGAGCTGCAGGCGGCTCATCCGGGGGGAGTAGGGAGTGGAGGAGACTCCCTGCTGCTGCACACACCCCTGGGAGAGGCATGGGGGGCTTGTGTGTTGGGTAAGGGCAGGATGCCTGCTGTGGGCTTGGGGCCAGGGGCTGCACTGGCCTCTTCCCAGTGGGGAGGCTGGGCTGGGGTGCACTCAGGGCAGGCAGGAGTAGGGTGGGTGGTGGTGCTGGCAGGGGATGCTCTGGATGAGCTACAGCCACCCCAAAATTTGCCATAGCCCCACCCCCCACAACTCCTCCCAGTGCCACTGCCACTGCCACCCAACCTGCCTCCACCTGCCTCAATTGTAGTCCTGGCCCAGTCCCTGCAGGAAGAGGCCAGCAGAGCCCCTGGCCCCAAGTCTGCAGCAGGCAGTCTCCCCTCGCCTCATGCACAGATCTGGAGGGCACATGCCCCGCATGCCTCTCCCGGGGTGCATGCAGTGGTGGGGAGCTCCTCCTACCCCCACCCCCCACACCTGCCCTGGCTGGGCAGGGCCTGCCCCAGCCCCAGCCCCTCTCCCTTCCTCACCCTAGGGGCCTCAATCTTCCCCACCTCCCCATGCCACTTCCCTCTTCTCTGCCCCCTCCCTCCCACACACTTACAGAAATCTTTTCCTTCA